TGTATTTTAAGTATCATTTGAATGTGAGACTGACTGATCCGTGGTAAATTCACGTAAGCTGGACTTTGAAACTAAAGTTTGACTGGTCCGAAAATAAAATAACTAACAATCAGCGAGTTTCTAGTGTACATAGTCAACAGAGTCACCTCATCGATTTTATATTTCCTTAGCGCCTATCACAAAAATTAACTCCACGTACGTAGGGATAGAGGATATGCATTCAATATGTATATGTACGTAATTTAAGGAATCAAACGCTCCTAAATAATCTGTACATCTATAGTGATAAAATTAGTATTTCAGCAACGGCAATTGTTTGTGTGGTGTCCTGTGGACATCCGGGACTATACACAGTGGTCAGGTGACCGAGAGAGTGTGCGTGTATGTAAAAAAGAGCGGGAGTTCGAAGGGTGACAGTGTGTTGTTCGAGTTATTGACCTTAGTGGCTTCTAGGAATATTATATTGGCGACGAGGATGGTCCAAATATAAGTGAGAAGCACTTACCACCATTGGATTTATCCGGACTAGCTCCGCAAGTCGCGGACAGGTGGCGTAAATGGAAGCGCGCGTTCGAATATTATGTCGAAGGAAAGGGCATGGAAAATGCTCGTAAGAAGACGTCTCAACTTTTGCATTTCGCCAGTATGGAAGTGCAAGACATATTCGAAGGCTTTCAAGATCCTGGTCCTCTCCCAGCGGAGGGTGATAATGCTTATAAGGTCGCTATTCGTAAACTGGATTTCTACTTTCGCGTCGAGGAGAATATTCTTTACGAGCGCCATGTTTTTCGCCAGCTGTCACTGCAGGAGGGGGGAGACCGCTGACCAGTTTTTGGTACGCCTAAGAAAAGAAGCTAGGCATTGCAATTTCCGAACGAGTTTGAACGACAACTTGAGGGATCAGCTGAATGAGAAGTTAACGGATTTTGAGCTGAAGAGGACATTGTTGGAACACAGGAATATTACACTGGAAGAAGCCTTAGATAAAGCTTGTGCGTGGTAAGCGGCTGGGAGAAAGCAACAAACATGACTGTGAACCCAGTGGTAATGAAGGAGACACCGTCAATGCAATCAAGACGAGACAAGGACAAAGAGATAATAAACCCAGAAAGTGCTACAATTGTGGAAGAGAGGGGCATCTGCCCATTGATAGGAGTTGTCCAGCAAAAGGAGAGAAATGTGCAAAATGTGGGAGGTAGGGTCATTTTGTTTTGTGTTGCAAGGCACAGAGTGGTAATTATACAACTGGAGGTAAACCGGATCAGCGAAGGAGGGATTCTGATAGACGCCAGTCTTACAATGCTAACTTCGTGGGCGATCAGAACGCATCTGACAGCGAGGACAACTGTGCTTTTGCAATTGCAGTTACAGAGAATCAAGGAGAAACATGCAATGCAACCCGTCTCAAAGAACCAGTGCTGGAAGTGAATATTAATGGCATTAAAACAAGAGTACTCGTTGATTCAGGGTCAGTAAGTAACCTCATGGGATTGGAAGAATATGAATAACTTAAGGCCCAAGGCCTTAACGCGAAGATGGAGGGTTGCCACAAGCGGTTGTATGCGTATGGCGGGAGGGAGTTGCAAGTGACTGGCCACGCTAAAGTTGAGATCTCGGCAGCTGATAAGAGGATAGGTTTGCATTTGGTAGTCACTAAGAGTGGAAGCTGTCTGCTGGGCCACGAAACCTCACAAGCTCTGGGTCTGCTTCGTATTAGTTCGGGCGTCAGCAGTGAGTTTTTGGAGTGCAATGTTGTTGGCGAGAACTTAGCCCCAGTTCCTCAGGCTAAGTATCCAACAGTGTTTGTTGGCGTCGGCAAGCTGAAAGACTACAAACTACACGTCGACTCAAAGGTGATACCAGTAGCTCAAAAACCAAGGCGTGTCCCATTTGCTGGGTGAGAGAAAGTAACAGCGAAAGTTGAAGACCTCATTGCTAAGGATATAGTGGAGCGAGTAAATGGGCCGACGTCATGGGTTAGTCCTGTGGTGATTGCGCCAAAGGCATCAGGGGNGGTCCTATCCCAGCGGAGGGTGATAACGCTTATAAGGTCGCTATTCGCAAGCTGGATTTCTACTTTCGCGTCGAGGAGAATATTCCTTACGAGCGCCATGTTTTTTGCCAGCTGTCACTGCAGGAGGGGGAGACCGCTGACCAGTTTATGGTACGCCTACGAAAACAAGCTAGGCACTGCAGTTTCGGAACGAGTTTGAACGATAACTTAAGGGATCAGCTGCTTGAGAAGTTAACGGATTTTGAGCTGAAGAGGAAATTGGTGGAACACAGGAATATTACACTGGAAGAAGCTTTAGATAAAGTTCGTGCTTGGGAAGTGGCTGGGAGACAAGCAACAAACATGACTGTGAACCCAGTGGTAATGAAGGAGACAGCGTCAATGCAATCAAGATGAGACAAGGAAAAAGAGATGATAAACCCAGAAAGTGCTACAATTGTGGAAGAGAGGGGCATCTGCCCATTGATAGGAGTTGTCCAGCAAAAGGAAAGAAATGTGCAAAATGTGGGAGGTATGGTCATTTTCCTTTGTGTTGTAAGGCACAGAGTGGTAATTATGCAACTGGAGGTAAAGCGGATCAGCGAAGGAGGGATTCTGATAGACGCCAGTCTTACAATGCTAACTTCGTGGGCGATCAGAACGCATCTGAGAGCGAGGAAAACTGTGCTTTTGCATTTGCAGTTACAGAGAATCAAGGAGAGACCTGCAATGCAACCCGTCTTAAAGAACCAGTGCTGGAAGTGAATGTTAATGCTATTACTACTAGAGTACTAATTGATTGAGGGTCAGTAAGGAACCTCCTAGGAATGGAAGAATATGAAGAATTTAAGGCCCAAGGCCTTAACGCGAAGATGGAGGACTGCCACAAGCGGTTGTATGCGTATGGCGGGAGGGAGTTGGAAGTGATAAGCCACGTTAAAGTTGAGATCTCGACAGGTGATAAGAGGAGAGGTTCGCATTTGGTAGTCACTAAGAGTGGAAGGTGTCTGCTGGGCTACGAAACCTCACAAGCTCTGCGTCTGCTTCGTATTAGTTCGAGCGTCAGCAGTGAGTTTGTGGAGTGCAATGTCGTTGCGAGAACTTAGCCCCAGTTCTCCAGCCTAAGTATCCAACAGTGTTTGTTGGCGTCGGCGGGCTGAAAGACTACAAACTGAAACTACACGTCGACTAAAAGGTGACACCAGTAGCTCAGAAACCAAGGCGTGTCCCATTTGCATGGCGAGAGAAAGTAACTGCGAAAGTTGAAGACCTCATTGCTAAGGATAGAGTGGAGCCAGTAAATGGGCCGACGTCATGGGTTAGTCCTGTTGTGATTGCGCCAAAGGCATCAGCGGATATCCGGTTGTGCGTAGATATGAGGAAGGCAAATGCAGCTATCATTCGTGAAAGGATACCCATCCCGACGGTGGACGAGGTGTTGGAAAATCTCAATGGCAGTGCTCTGTTTTCAAAATTGAATCTTTGTCTGGGATTCCACCAGACTGAACTAGATGAGGACTCAAGAGATATAACCACATTTGCCACACATGATGGGTTATTCAGATACAAGAGGCTGAGTTTCGGAGTAAACTCAGCACCTGAGAAGTATCAGCAGATAATAAGACAAGTGGTCTCTGATATCGGTGGGGTTCAGAACATTGCCGATGACTTGATAGTGCATGGCAAGAATAATGAGGAGCATGACAGGCATCTTCATAAAGTATTGCAGCGATTAGAGGAGAAGAATCTCACCCTCAACCCTCAGAAGTGTCAATAGCCCAAA